TCTGGTCGGTGTGTGGAATTGACACTTTGGGGAGATTTCTGTAACAGAGAGGGGCAACAACTGCAGGAAATGGTAGACTCTGGTTTCTTCCCTGTTTTAGCAGTCAAAGCCGGAAAAGTAAATGATTTCAGTGGAAAGTCTATAGGAACAATCTCTGCGACTCAGCTTTTCATAAATCCAGATTTTCCTGAGGCTTTCAGCCTTAGGCAATGGTTTGACCAAGGAGGAAAAGATGTAGCTTCACATTCTATATCTAGGGAACTTATGCCTTCAATTTCAAAGAATGAGATACGTAAAACTATCTCTCAGATAAAGGATGAAGGCCTTGGAAGGTCAGATAAGCCAGACTGGGTTACAGTTAAGGCAACGTTGACTTTCATCAAGACTGATACCTTCTGTTACACCGCGTGCCCCTTGATGATTGGAGATAGACAGTGTAACAAAAAAGTTACTAAGTCAGGAAATTCAAGATGGATATGTGACCGGTGCAATCAAGAATTTGAGGAGTGTGATTACAGGTACCTTATTCAAGGTCAAATTCAGGATCATACTGGGCTAACGTGGGTAACTGCCTTCCAGGAATCAGGGGAAGAGCTTTTGGGTTGCTCAGCTAAGGAGTTGTACATGATGAAGTGTGATGAGGAGGATGATACCAGATTCTCCGAAATTATAAAAAAATGCATCTTCACACAGTTTCTGTTTAGACTTAAAATCAAAGAGGAAAACTATGGTGATGAACAAAGGGTAAAGATTACAGTTGTCAAGGCTGACAGAGTTGATCATTCTCGGGAAAGTAGGTATCTGCTAGATTTACTGTAAGTTTCATCTTTTGATGATAATTGAAGGCAAATTGGAGATTCCTATTGCAAAAGCTTTATACTTTAGGATGATTTACACTTGCGAAGTACTACCAAAAATTCATGTACTCAACTGAGAGTTCTTTTTTATCAACTGCTGTAAGGTGTGTTATTTGTGACATGTTTAAATGTCTAACGTAGTTTAAATATTTGAGATATTGTAATCCAGAAACATATATATATATATATATATATTCTTTCTAAATATTGAATGTATTAGTTCTTACATTCTCATTACATTTATTTTTCTGTTTGCACTGCCATTAAAGTAGAATAGAAAAAGTAGGAAGAGTGCAGGGAAAATAAAATCTTGAATTGCATTCACATGTCTGGAAAATTACAGCTACAGAGATGATAGGTCATCAGGACAGACAAGACAAACAGGCGGGAAAAGGTAAGAATTACATCTGAGGATTCTTTCTTTCTTAGCTTCTCTTGACAGGATCGAAGTTGGAGACACCAATAATAGCACCAAGAATGGCAGCGAGCACAACCCCTCCGGAAACAATGCTGAGCAAGAAGTTCTTGAGAGACGGGGTAACACCATCAGCAGCCTGAGCCACATCTGGAATCACCATGGCAGCAGTTAATGCAGCTGCTGTCAATCCAGTCACAGCCTTTTCTTTGAGCGAGGCCCTGACTTCAAACTTCCCGGCTGGTCTTGACGCCCCAACTGCCTTGGATTCCCTCACCGGCATCGGCTTCAAGAAGGCGGCAGCAGTTGCTTGCCTCTTCGGGGCCGCAATGGTCAATGGCATAGCCATGGAAACCGCACAGGTAGAGGCCATTATTTTGCTTTCAGTAGCTTAGCTCTCTATGCTCCGCAGTTTCTTTCTTCTACTCACAATTTGCTGAATGTGAGGAGTATATGGTGTGAAATGTTTTTGATAGGAGAAGATTGTGTGGGATTCTCAACGAGAGGTGGAAAATGAGGAGAATGCGTGGAGCTTGCCATCTCCAATCCTACGTGGCAACTTCTCCACTTGACTATGGTGGATAAGGTTTATCTCTTTGCCACTTCGGCATCTCTTATTAATTAACTCCCCGCCTCTCTCCTTCCACACACGAAATATATTATACAACATATAAAAATTGAGTAATTAGTACGTTATGCCTTATGGTAGTGGCTATAGAGAAACGATAAAATATAGGGAAAATGAGTTAATTTACCCAATATAATCATTGACTATAGTGGTTTTACTCAGTTTAGTTCTAAATAATTTTTTATGCTCAATTTAGTTCTCAACTTTGATAATTTTACACAATTTAGTCTTTTGTTAAAAATTATGTTAGTTGACTGTTAGAAATAGGGTCCTAATGGTAATTTCTCATTACTACTGCCTCTATGCTACTTCGCTACTGCTTCTCTACGGGGCACCAAAATCCAACTAAAAAAAAACTATTTAAAAAAATTGTAGGCAAATATTTATTTATTTATTTAGGGTTGAAATTGATTTGGAGATGAAGATCTCTATTTTTGCGTGGAACTTAATAAGGGGAAGAAGAAGGAATCATTCTAAATGGGATGAAGGATGAGAAATTACTATTAGGATCCTATGTCTAATAGTCAACTAACAGAATTTGTAACAAATGATTAAATTGTGTAAAATCATCAAAATCGAGGGCTAAATTGATAATAAAAAAATAAAAAAAAAAAAAGTCATTTAGGAATAAATTGATTACAAAAAGTCATTTAGGACTAAATTGAGTAAAATCACTATAATCGAGGATTATATTGGATATTAACTCTATGAAAAATTATAGTCGAGAACTATATTGAGTATTAACTCTATGAAAAATCTTTGTACACGTATGCTGCCACTTAAACTTTGGACACTTAGGTTAGATTTATATAATTTTATAAAACCAATAGATTTATATTTGTAATAGTATCGATAGTACTTTAAAAAAAAAAATATGAACCAATAGATTTATATTACTTCATCTCAACTTAGTAATAAATTTTATGAGAAAACTTAAAAATTAAAGTCGTCGTTGCTGCTTGTTTGTGGCATGCGTTGTTTTATTCATTGGATAAGTTTAATCCAAGTATCGCTTGGGGTTGGGGTGGGGAATTAAGATGCATTAACATTATATATATATATATATATATATATATATATATATATATATATATATATATATATATATACTGAAAAGAAAAAGATATGTATGAAATTTGAAGATATAAGGGCCCTGTTTGGTAAAATGGCTGTTGGCTGATTGTGTTAATTAGAAGGTATAAATAGTTGATAACATTAGCTTATTGTAGAAAAGTGTTTGGTAAATTAGCTGTTAGCTGATAGCTGTTTGATATAATTTCTTTTCTCAAAAAGCTAATTGAAAAGTTGTTTGGAGTAACTTTTTGAATTTTAGCCTTTTGGAGTTGCAAAAAGCTAATTAACTAAACATTTCTATTGATATTTTAACTAAATCAAACAATTAATAGTGGTCAAATAAGCCAAAATTGACCTATAGGCCAATTTTTTACCAAACAGGGCCAAGGAGTGTTACAAGTTACAACATTTTGTCAAAACCGAATTATATTCTATAGTTGGTAGAACCAACAAATGAATTGTTTGCATGACTTCAAAAAAATTATTAATTCGAGTGAAAAGAGTTTGAGTAATTTAAATATGAGATAAATAATTTTAACTTGTGTACTATACTTTGTCCATTCTTAGATTATATAATTACAATTGAATAATGTTAAAATGCAGAATTATTCGAGTCTGGCCAGCCAAGGGAATAATTTTATATACTTTCATACTTACATTATTAATCTTTAATCAATTATTAATCTAATAATTCAAGAGGCAAACCAACGGTTCTATTTCATGCCTACTCACAACAAACTGTCTTTTTCACCAAATTAAGATCAAGATTTTATTTGATTTTCGACAATTTTGTAATATGTTATTGTTTTTTTATTCTTTTGCTGTACAAGTTACTAAAATTTTCACTTACAAGTAAAATAAATATTTTCTTTATGGAATTACGGCACGGGTATTGCACGTAAAAAGATTCCTAATATATTATTTTTCTTTTCTTCTTATTCCTTTACCCTTTATATTTTAGTTGGAAAGGATCAAATTTACTTTAAAATTTTAAAATATATATGAAAAAAAAAAAAAAGAAGAGGTTATTCCTCTTTTATTTTTTGAAGGTATCACCGCCGTCGCCTTTCTTTTTGTCTGCATTAACCCAAGTGTGAAGCAAAGGTGTTCCTTGACTTCCTTCTATTCTCTTTCTCCATTCTTGAGAGCATCCTCAATAAATACAGACTTTAGTTAGTTTTTGTGAAGGTAATTAGGAGAAAGAAGGGAAAGGAAGAAAAAAAATTAATAGTTCTAACGCGCCCAATGAGAAAGGCTTGGTTTTTTTTGGGACAGTAAATTCCCAAAAAAAAAAAAAAAATCTTGTAGAGGATTCAAGTCTTTTCTCTTTTTTACATTAATATAAAAGTTGCAAAAATCATCCAAAATTTTTCTATTGGAGATGTTCTAACTCCTAAGTATATGAAAAATGTTTCTATTTTCTTTTAAAAAAATATTTAACATGATGTCGTGATAAAGATTTTTATTATTTATTCATTAATTAATCGGCTCTATTACTACCTAATAAAATGATTCATTTAAATTAAATATGATAAATTCAATGCAATTATGTAAACGTAACAAAATGATTTTAATAGGATAAAATGTCATATATATATATATATATATATATATATATATATATATATATATATAGGGGGTAATTGAGTTAGAACGAGTTCAATTAGTCAAAATTTAAAGCTTCAACTTGACTTAAGTGAATGTTGAAAGAGTAAAAGTCTAAACGTTTATTGTTTGGATACAAAATTTATAATAATAAAACAAAAATCTAGAGTTATAATATTATACTTATATTACTAAGAAAAATAAATTAGATACGCAAACTATTTTAACGAAACGAAGTATTAAAATACTCAAATTCGACTTAATTCATTAGTCAAACTTCTCAAGCATGAACTCGACTAAACAATAACCAAATTAAATTTGAATAATCATCTCGAGTAACTTCCCTCATTTACACCTTTTTAATATATATACCAGTAAACCACCTAGTATTTACTATTTAAGACTAAACTCACTTAAAATATCTTTTTTCATTTATTAAGTATTAATTTAATTTGAAGCAATAAGATAATACATATATGGATAGCGCAGATTGATACTTCAACCTTGGAAATGATAAACATTTTGACGTGACAAATTATATTTGTCATCACTCATCATTCATCAAGGGCAAGGCTATGGCAGCTTCACCAACCAACTCTACTTCTCATCCTCCTCCTCCCACCCCATCGCCTTCTCATCCCAAATCAAATCTCCCCATGTTATACTACGGCCTCGTCGTCATCGGCACCGCCGCCATCGTCCTCGCGCTCTACAACCTCCTCATCATACGGTGGTGCGCCGAGAGCCGGCGGCGGACGCGGCTGAGGAATCTGAGGATGGGCGACAGCACCAGCTTCGTCAGCTTCCGGAGCTCCGACAGCCGCAGCATCAACCTCAACCTAGCAGTGTCCAGTTTCCGGTACAAGAATGAGGGCGTCGAGGTCAACGAGTGTGCTGTCTGCTTGTCGGCGTTCGAGGACGGCGAGGAGGTCCGGCGACTTCCCAAATGCAACCACTCTTTTCACGCTCCTTGTATTGACATGTGGCTCTACTCTCACATGGACTGCCCCCTCTGCCGCTCGCCGGTTGAGCCGCCGGTCCTTACCCGTCACAAAAACACGGCGACCGAGCAAGCCCTTGAGGGGAATACATCTCAGGAAGGATTAATAGTCCCAAACAATGCTTCTTCAATAGTTTAATTTTACCATACTTGTAAACTTTCTTCTTCTTCTTCAACTTTTTTTTTTTTTTTTGTGAGTAGAAAATGATACCATTCTTGTACAGTAACCCGACCAATCATTCGAGTTTGGTGTAGTTCGATGTGAAGTGGATAATATCAAAGAAAATTTTTCCAAATCTTAGTCCTTCAATTTTATTCAAGTACAAGTTATTTTTTTTACGTGGGTCTCAAAACAAGTGTCGTTTATAAAGTGAGATACTTAGTATTTTCCATCAAAGAAAGAGTTAGCAAATGGTAAATTTTAAAAGAGATACTTCTGCTAGTTGAGGTTCTAAAATATCTAAACAACTAAACTAGTTGCTTAGGTCAACTAACTCGATATCTTCATCCATAGAATGAGAATCCAATAAACAAGCCGTCTATATCATGAATTAGTACTTAGTAGGCCTGCTGCCCTTACCTTATCTTACAGTTTTGTCGGTATGGATTGAACTATACCAATGTCACCATCTGCCGCTCTCCTTCTGTCCAATAATTCACACCCCACTAGTTGAAATTTCGCAGTGTGTATGCCGCCCTTCAAATTCTATGGGCGCTTTTGCTCATAGGCGGACTCCACAACCTAACCCGACCTAATTTAAACCACAATGATTTAACAATCTCTTAAATTGAAAAATCAATATCTGGTGTCCACCAAGAACCTACTAAACTAGGTGAAATTTTCGCATTACAGTTACCCGAACTTGATCATGAGACTTCATTCTCAATCTACCACGGAGTATCAATTGAACTATCCTATGGGCATGGTCGCTTTTGCTTACCCTTGGAACATGGGAAGAAAACATAACCTAACGGGAACACTTCGTTGTCTACTACTCACTAGTCTAGTAGTCTACATCAAGTAATAATTGAGTAGTAAATATTTCATTAATGATTAATCTTCAGACGAAGGAAATTAAAAAGAAAATAGTTACACAAAGTAGTCAAGTTTAGTTTTGACTCAAGATGCACAGAAGAATTCGGTTATAGAGACATATACAAGAAAGATTGGTCTGTGTAGCAATGCCACGCTTAATTTAGGTTGATAAATTGAAGATATTAATACATGTTAAAAAGGGGGGCGTGTCTCCTTTCGTGGGGAGATTATTTCTAGTTTTGAAAATTATTTACATCCTCCTCAAATTGTCTAACCTTGCCTGCAGATCGCTGTCGATCCCGGTGTCATCGTTCCCGGTTGCCTCAGCTTGGGGGACCTTGGTTTTTGCTGCTGGTGCAGCTACAGCGGAGGAAGGTGCATTGAGAAGCTGTAAATAAGTCAAAAGTAAAAAGGATTCAGCATAGTGCATTTGAGATTAAGTTGATGAAATATGATGGATGGAATTATTGCAAATTTATTATTTTTAAAAAAATAGGAGGGAAAATACCTCGGAATTCATATCAATTCCAATTTCATCGAGGACCTGGTTCACCAACTCTTCAGTTTCTTCTTCTTCTTCGTCCCCTTCCAATGCATCATCTATGGCATCTCCCATCACTTCACTTACCATTTCCATTTTCTCGTTTTGCATCTCAAACTCTTGCATTATCCTCTGCAGTGCAGGCAAGTTCATCTGTCTATTCATCTTGCCCATTGCCTTGGTGACACCTTTCATTGCCTCCCCCATAGCTTGAGTTGATTTCAAAGTCTGATGATCATACCACAAACAAAATCTACTTTGTATGTATCAAGATAAGTATTTAAAAGTACACAGTCCAGCATAAATCACATTATTAATCTAGCAATCAAATTTTGCATGAATTGTTAGTCCGTTATCCCACAGCACGTTATACTTATGTATGCATCAAATGGTACATAAGTATGGAAGATGAACACTTTTATGAGGAAAAAAAAAAAGGATTAGGGAAAAAATGGAAGGTGGGGTTGATTCCTGACATAATAAGCTGTGTTCTATTAAAAGACGGCGAAATTTGAATTTCTTTATGTTTCGTTCTTTCATTTTTTACTACAGCTTTTTGTTTCTGGATGCTTTTTAGGGAGGGAGAAGGATTTATACTCTTAAAGCTCGTCAGAATATCCTTCTTCAAGATACCATATAAACTTTGGTAGTTTGGTCAGAACTTATACAATACAAAACCGGGAGAGGGCAATTAAGAAATTCATGACTATATTAGGCAGATTATTGTGAAGATAAAATAAATTTAATGTGTGTCACTGAAGATGCAAAACTACATGGAGATACAAAATGACAATAGTACATCCTAATATAAACATTAAAAATAACAGTAAAATGTATTCAATGTCTACCTGGATCCTGAGGGAGACCCCTTGAAGTTGGGACTTCAGCTTATAAAATTTTTCAATTTGATGTCTTGTTCTAATGAGATCCTTTGCCATCACTTTAACAGCTCCCTAAAATAAAAAGAACTCAAAATCAAATGGAGACTCAAGTATTGTTGCTTAAGAGTCAGAACTTCATTACCATTATGCAATAACTCATTAGACCTGTGTATATGTAATCCACACATACAAGCTTTTAAACTTAACTATCAAAGTTTAGTAGAGAATATGAAGTCTATCTAGTCACCTAGAGAAAGGTACATATACAAATTCACTTGTGGGGGAAGGAGGGTACCAAATGTCAAATTAAAATGCCTAATAAGCCTAACAGAAATTAAAAAAGAACCCATCTGTCCTTGCTTTGAGCGCTTTTAACTCCAAAATTGAGTGCAGCTGAACTATATAACAAGCATACCAGAAACTAAGAAAACCTACCATCTGTCCTTGCTTCGCACTTTTCTTTATCTCTGCAATAAGTTTTTTCTCTTGAGCTTGTAACCCTTGTCTCTCCCTTTCTATTTCTCGGATAGATTTATCAAGCATCCGCTTGTTCTCCCGTAGAAGCTCTGAAAACATCAGTTTTAAATAAAATCAATCAAATTACTTCACAGTATTCACCTACAAAGCAATATTTGTAAGTCCAGACAACACAATTGAACACTGCATAGTTTACACATGTGAGAACCCTTTTTTCAGTTGAATAAGCACCAAGCTTAAATAGAAATTACAAAAGCCAGAATGTTGAAAATTATCTAACATCATCAAGATTTCAGAATCATGAAGCTAACATTTTCTTAGCATCTGCAAATTACAAAACTAATAATAATAATAATAATAATAATAATAATAATAATAATAATAATAATAATTTTAATAACATTATACCATCAAACCTTAGACTATAGTAGTAGAGCATTGAACCTTATATAGCATTTCCATACCTTCAAAGCTCCAAACATTTTTTTGTTGCTCAAAAAGCAGTTATTTTCACTAAGCCTACAATCTGTCGCCCAAGTTATAACTTTGAGCAATAAATTTCTATTATAATACCTCATATTAATACGATCAGAGCATCTATACCTTCAAACAAACTTAACAGCGATAAACAATATTATAAGTCCTAATTTTAGCCTGAAACACAGAATTCTTAATTACAAATTCATATAAACAAAACTGACAAAAATATAAGTTGATCTAGCATCAATCCACATATATCAACACAGCACAGGCCAATTTGAATCAGCAACAGTAAACTTAGCACAAATCATTAAAAAAAACTGCACAAATTACAGGAAATTTACTATAAATGAAATACGTAGATCTGTAAGTGCGCGAAAATACGGACCTGCGGGAGTTTTCTTCTTGCCGAAGAGGAAACTCATCGCGATTGTTGGAACGATCGATTCTGCAAGCAAAACAAAAAAACTGTACTGAAGGAGGAGAAGTCCTCTTCAGCAGAATTCTCTCTCTCTCTCTCTCTCTCTCTCTCTAGAGCTCAAGTCGTCTACCACTATTTCTCTGGGAGAAGAATGATCTTTTGGAGGCTTACGTATTACGCGGCAAAAGTGGCCACTGGCCAGGGGACTCTGGAATACTGGAATCTACGCAGAAACGATCAGTTGAAATGTTGAATGGACTGGTCCAGATTCGACGTTAAGAGTCCAATAGGAATTAAATGGGCCAAATCATTCAATATTGTAACATCTCAAGACTTTGAATTGGGCCAACAGAGGCCCACAATTTTTGTCCGCAATCATTATTCCATGAACCATGGTCTACAGTTTTACATCATTCCAAATGCTCTGTTGGGTCAGATGTGGGGTGCCCTTAAGGTTGGGGTTCAACCTTTTGGAAGAATGAACCATGGTCTACACATTTGGGCAAATTATATCGTGCACCGCGGTACATACTCGATTATGCACCACGCGTCAGACGCTACAGTGTGTCTAAACCGACATTGTCAAAACGACGTCGTTTTATTTAATGAAAAGAAACGGAATCTCCGCAAAAAATAACTTTGTTCTTCAGTTTCATTTTGTATACACTGCAGTTTCAGTTCAACACAATTACAGTTTCATTTCGACATAACTACAGTTTCATTCAATATTTATACACTCAAATATGTGAATATGTTATTTAATTTTATTTTATATACACTATAATTTCAATAAAACACAACTACATGCACATTTGAATATAGTTACAGCTTCATTGTACAATATACACTCAAATATGTGAAATGTTATTCAGTTTCATTTTATATATACTGTAGTTTCATTTCACCACAACTACAGTATCATTTTGCTATAACTGTAGTTTCATTTGATAATATAAAAATAATACATGAGTCAGTATCGGTTTAGACACACTGTAGTGTCTGACGCGTGGTGTATAATGGATTATGCACCGCGGTGCACGATATAACGACCCACATATTTGTGGGAATCATAAATAAAAATTACATTTTTAATATACTAAAAGTACACTATTTATAAACATAAAGTATATTATTTGAAAGTAGATAAATTTTATATATATATATATATATATATATATATATATATATATATATATATATAGAGTATTATCAAATAATATACATTCGGTACACAAATAATTTACTTTTAGTATATTAAAAATGTATATTACATTCATGGTCAACACAGCTATTGATGGTTTTTGGGTTTTCGGGCCCAAGGAGGTCCAACACAACCTTTAGCTGGAGGATACACCTTTCAATAAAGTTTGCTAAAATAATATGGGCTCGATGATTTTGACGTGGAAACCGAAAGGAAAAC